CATAACACATTAAGGTAGGCTATCTACTGTACCTAATATTTACCCAAAGGAATTGATATTGAATCAGTATCCGAATCAAATCACAAGAATTGAATTGAAATTGTGAAATTTGTGTTAAGCAATAATAAAAACAGTAGCATACCAGTCTTTGTACCATGTAAACATTGTGTTTACATAGTTAATAAACTTGATAAAATTATGTTTAGTTACCAAATAATTTGACAATCACAATAAACATTGTGATGCAAGTTCTTTTTTTTTTTTACACATCCCCCCAATCCCAATCCCCCCATTTTATGTAATGTTACATTTACACTATTTACAATGACAGGGCCTGCCCTGTCTTTTTGACTTGTTGTTTCTGATTGCACTGTAATCCAGATAATATCCCAGAAGGGAATATCAAAACAAAATAAAGTTAAAACTTGTTTTGAACAATTTCTTTGTCATCTACAGATTGATTTTTTTTTTAGGCCATATCGCCCAGCCCTAACTGAACTTGTTTCCATCTGCGACGAGCGTAGATGTCCTCCTTTTTGAACTGACCCAGTGGCAAAGATGGCATGATCTTGAGTAGCAACAGATGGTTAGGGGTTAATGGTTCCAAGTCGTTGGGATCAGTGGATGCCTTGGTAATAGGACGGCTGTTAATAATAGCCTCTGCTTCACAGAGAACTTTGTGAAGACTTTCCTCATCAAGGGTCTGCAACTTCAGGGTAGAATTCAGGACCTTCCTCACAGACCTTATCAACCTTTCCCACACCCCTCCATGATGTGATCCTGTGGGAGGATTGAAAACCCACTTATTCCTTTCTGAAGGAGAGTGTTGTTGATTAAAGCAAGATTCCAACCTTCCATTGCCTCTCTCAATTCTCTCTCTGCACCGACAAAGTTGGTTCCATTGTCTGGGCGCAGCTCTAATACTTGTCCACGTCTTGCTGTAAAGCGTCGAAGAGCATTAATAAAGGAATCTGTGTCCAAGGATGATGCAACTTTGATGTGGATCGCTCTTATGGAAAGGCATGTGAAGAGAACCCCATACCTCCAAGGATCCAATATCTTTGGCGCAGGCTAGCTAGCATGTGATTACGACCACTGTGTCCTACCTCTTGATGTATGTGCTGAAGAATTATGTCAGAAATGTGTAAATCTTTTGTCAATATAACAGGATGCTTCGATTCTTCCGGCATGGCCGCTCTGCTAAGTCGTCCTCCAACTCTCAGAACACCATCTTCAAGTATTGGATTGAGCTTGTAAATGTGACTAGTTCCTTTCACACTTTCTCCCTTTTGCAAGCTGTTGAACTCTCCTGGAAACCTCCTTCTCTGACAAAACTTAAAAATCTCCATCTCAGCTCTTCTGAGTTCATCAACTGAAAGAAGACCACTACCAGTCTGAGCCTTGATACTCTGCATCTCCTTTTTTATTTCTTTTCCTTGTTGGTCCTTATCCAAGCCGGAATGAGCAAGAGTCATGCTCAGTTGCTTCCTCTTCCTCTATTTCAATAACTTTTGTTTGATTTGTTCATTGTAAACAGCTGAAAGTCTGTACATTTTGCCAATAAATCTGCATTTGCAATGGGGGTTGAATAATTTTGATTACAACTGTATTATTTTATCTGCAAAGGTTTAAGTACTAAACAAAATATAGTTTTGGTAAAAAAAAAATTACATTCTTGCCCAAAATCAGTTTTTTCTTTATAAAATCTGCACAAACCTATTTACAGCCTTGAGAACCATTCATATGGGTTCTGGAAGGAAGTGGTTAAATAATGACATGTTCATAATAGGACTCCTAATTTATCCCTGATTGGTGGAATTGGTTGTGTTACAACTCTTTCCACGTTACAACCAAACCCGGTCTCTCCTTATTTATATACACATTTTGTTTACATATTATGTGTTTACATGCCGGTATATCATTATATTTATATATATTACATATATATATGTGTGTGTGTGTGTGCGTGTCTGTGTATATATATATATATAAATATATGTGTGTGTGTGTGTATACAATATATACACACAGAGACATATAATATATATAAATATAATAATATTATACAGACAAATATATTATGTAAACAAAAACATTTATGTCATAGACCCGATTAGTTAATTCGACATTGCGCGCACACGAACACACACGCACGCGCACACGCACACGCACACGCACGCACGCGCGCGCGCACGCACGCACGCACGCACGCACACACACACACACACACACATATATACACTCACCCAAAGGATTATTAGGAACACTTGTTCAATTTCTCATTAATGCAATTATCTAATAAACCAATCACATGGCAGTTGCTTCAATGCATTTAGGGGTGTGGTCCTGGTCAAGACAATCTCCTGAACTCCAAACTGAATCTCAGAAACCCCTTTTCCACCAACGCATTTTGAGAGCCGGTTCGGAGCCGGTGCCTGCGCGCGAACCAGTTCTTTGTGTTTCGACAGCCAAAGAACCGGTTCTCGGCCAGGAAAACTGGTTCCAAAGCGGCACCAACTCTTTGCTGGACTAGAACCGTTCTTTTACCACGTCATGCTTACGTCGGGGGCTGGGGGCAGGTTTAGATAACATATTTTCTGACATAATATAGGATCGCAAAGCCAGGAGAAACATTTGCAGAAACACGATGTAGCCATTGTAATTGTTATGCTTGAAGTTGGCGCAAGCGTTTCTAGTTTTTTTAATTAATTTTTTTGTTGAAAACGTTATGTAAGCAAAGGAGAAAACAGTCACAATATAGAACAAATAAATGGAAAGAAAAAAAAGACACAAGACAGGAGTACATAACTAATCAGAAAAGATTACATATCAAAGGAAAAGATTAAAAGACTTACATATTTCAATTGTTTTTAAAGCCTTCTTGGTTCACAAGTTAGAGATAATCCCAAAAGTAATGTTGTACTTGCAAGCGTTTCTAGCTAAGATGTATGGCGACGTACACAGTGACGTAACGACGTCGTTCGCTGGGCGCTCTAGTCAGTGGAAAAACAAACTCCGAACCAACTTTGAACCAGCACCAGTTCCGAACCAGTTCGTTTTTGGTGGAAAAGGGGTAAGAATGGGAAAGAAAGGTGATTTAAGCAATTTTGAGCGTGGCATGGTTGTTGGTGCCAGACGGGCCGGTCTGAGTATTTCACAATCTGCTCAGTTACTGGGATTTTCACGCACAAGCATTTCTAGGGTTTACAAAGAATGGTGTGAAAAGGGTAAAACATCCAGTATGCGGCAGTCCTGTGGGCGAAAATGCCTTGTTGATGCTAGAGGTCAGATGAGAATGGGCTGACTGATTCAAGCTGATAGAAGAGCAACTTTGACTGAAATAACCACTCGTTACAACCGAGGTATGCAGCAAAGCATTTGTGAAGCCACAACACGCACAACCTTGAGGCGGATGGGCTACAACAGCAGAAGACCCCACCGGGTACCACTCATCTCCAATACAAATAGGAAAAAGAGGCTACAATTTGCAAGAGCTCACCGAAATTGGACAGTTGAAGACTGGAAAAATGTTGCCTGGTCTGATGAGACATTCAGATGGTAGAGTCAGAATTTGGTGTAAACAGAATGAGAACATGGATCCATCATGCCTTGTTACCACTGTGCAGGCTGGTGGTGGTGGTGGTGTAATGGTGTGGGGGATGTTTTCTTGGCACACTTTAGGCCCCTTAGTGCCAATTGGGCATCGTTTAAATGCCACGGCCTACCTGAGCATTGTTTCTGACCATGTCCATCCCTTTATGGCCACCATGTACCAATCCTCTGATGGCTACTTCCAGCAGGATAATGCACCATGTCACAAAGCTCGAATCATTTCAAATTGGTTTCTTGAACATGACAATGAGTTCACTGTACTAAAATGACCCCCATAATCACCAGATCTCAACCCAATAGAGCATCTTTGGGATGTGGTAGAACGGGAGCTTCGTGCCCTGGATGTGCATCCCACAAATCTCCATCAACTGCAAGATGCTATCCTATCAATATGGGCCAACATTTCTAAAGAATGCTTTCAGCACCTTGTTGAATCAATGCCATGTAGAATTAAGGCAGTTCTGAAGGCGAAAGGGGGTCAAACACAGTATTAGTATGGTGTTCCCAATCATCCTTTAGGTGAGTGTATATATATACTTACAAGTTCCCCCTCCAGTGGTCTCGGGGCATGACTGTCAGAAGGAAGTTAAAGCAGATCAACATGGTGAATTTCATTATTAAAACACTGTTAGACAACTGGAGTGCACACCATTAAGATGACTCTTCACAATCACAATTTATTTCACTTGCACCTTTAAAAAAGAAAAATTCACAGAGATCACAGAGTACAACTTTAAAAAAGACACTAAACAGGAATAAATAGGAAAAACAACCTGAAATTAAAAAAATGAAACCTATAATAGCATTGGTCTATTCTCACAAATCCATTGTATGTCTGAAAACTAATATACTGTAACACATGAGTCACGTGTACTTGTGCAATATTTTTTGGTGTGTTTCTAGATTTTTGGAGAATGCCAGAAGTGATGACTATGAATTGTTGTTGTATGGAAAAGAGTGTTTGAATAAATCTTTTGAATGAAAGATATGACTTACACACACAAAAGACACTGGCTGCCACCTACTAGTGTAATGATGTAAACACAACAAAAAACAAGTCACTAAACAAAACCATGAATGACTGTTTTTAGTGAATTGATTCATTGAATCAAGTACAAAGATTATTTGATGTCTTCATTGATATCTTTCATTTTATTTAGGGTGTTGTGATGTGTAGTAATAATAATAATATGTTATATATGTATTAATATATATTATTTTCTTTCTATTTTCAAATAAATGATATTCTCAATTGTTAAAGTAAGCCATTTAAAACATAAACAGGTGGTTATTGTACTAAACTGTTAAAAATGCAGCTGTTTTCTTTCAAGTATAATGTAATGCCTTGAGATGTTGGAGCAAAAAGGCATTTTCTAGAGAGAAGCAAGTCTTCAGACATGGCTAGGAAAGATTTTCCTGGATGGAGATCTTCCAAATGAGATTCAGAGCCACTGAAGTTCCAGTGCAGTGCAGCTTTCTCCTCTTGAAGAGATTGTTCACATTGCTTTGACATCGATGTTGGCGACTCCATGCACCTGAGGTAGTTGACGGCAGTCGAGTGAAGCTAGAAGTTTCTGTGGCCCAGCCTCAGAGGGAATAAACTTCTCTGTCAGTGTCACCGTGGCCAAGCTTTGTATATCTCTGAGAAAACATATAAACAATAGAGAGTGAGAAAAAACATGTTTCCATGAGTTGAATTGATTTGTTACACTACATATTTTTGCTTAATATTGTTATATCAGTTACTAGGCTGTGAAACGGTTAACAAAATGTATTAAATGTATACCTTGTGTATGCTTTTGTAAATATAGTTTGGCTTTTTCTGTTTTGCCATCACATGAATAAATTGCATTTTTAAAATATATTCAAATAGACAACTGTGTATTGAAAGCAGTCACAGACCATAATGAGGACAACCACATCTGATGTACATTTGACATTGAGCATCTTACCCGCAGGAAACCTCCCTGACACTCTGCAATCCCAACCCTTCAATGCGAAACTTCACGTTCTTCAGTGTGCGCTTAAGTGGGTTCTGGAAAACGATCGTGACCTTGAACTCTTTCCCAACTACTGCAGCATCTCCACCGGGCTGAAAGGTAGAGGAGCTCACATTTACAACAAGTGTCATGACAATAAATGAAATTTCAGAGTTCAGATTTCATAAAACCTAATTCACCAAATAAAACCAAATTAGGCCTGGCTTGTTCTAACCTTAATTTACCACACATATTAGTCTTCATATAAACACGTGAATCATTTTGAGTTTAAAACAGAGAAGTCTTTTAAACTCACTTTGATGACTATGTCTGGTGTGCGCAGTCTGAAGCGAAACTGGGTAGCCAGAACCTGTTTGGTCTGTGTGACCCGTCCAGTAAGAGTGACCATCAGCATGGCCTGGTCCACCAGCTGGTCTTTATAGTGCTCATATGGCAGACACCACTCCACAGTGTCAACTATGACAAGTAAGTGCGAAAAATTAATCTCTAATTGCCATCAGTAATCCAATATGAACTAAACGCTGCATTATTGCACTCTGTTAAGGTCTCTCACCTTCATTGGGTTGGAGTTCGATGGGTATCTCGTCTTTCTTCACTGTAGATTTATACACCCCAGTGTAGTATATAACAGCCACCTGGCTGTGGAGGTTGAAAGTGCGCTGTTCTGCACTTGTGTTCTTCACCGTGACGGCCAGTTTGGCGTCTGCTCCAAGCTGAGGCTCTTCTCCATCGATGGTGATCTGAACGGTGACGTCATCCGCACTGGAGACATCGTACATCCCTGATTTAGAGCCATACTGACAGGCTGTTTCCACAGCAATGCGTTCTTCCTCTGAATCTAACAAAGGAATAGTGATGTAACGCTCATTGTTTTGTCTAGATTTTCTCATTTATTCAGAAGTACATTAAAAATGCATTTAATTCATACAAAGACTTTTTATGATGAGTATGTTTTTATTTTCTGATTTCAAATTCAAAATGACTTAAAATACCACAAAATTTTTCTCAGGATGTGTCATGTGGAGCGACTTCCCAAAAACTGAATGTATTAATAATTTATGTTATATGCTAAAATCATATTTTTTTATAATATTTATATTTGTAAAAAAAAAAATATATATATATTTAAAAACTGTTAATGATTAAGGTATGTGCTCTTGCATGTACTGTATTCAAGGTGAAAGAGAAATGTTATTATTACTTTTTACTTGCTGGTTACACCACATGACATTTTTAGAGCCACTTAATTGTAACTTCTTGAAAATGGTGTAAACTATTTTCTATGGAGAACAAAACAATATTATTACTTTACTATACTTAAGTTTAAATACTTAAAAAAAATTTTTTTTTTTCTTTATTGGAGTATTTTCTTAAGGAAACTTTAGGAAACTATTATCACACCTTCCTTGTTATTTAAAAGAAACCAACACCCTCTCTGAGAGATGATAATAATAATATTAATAATAATTAATTACATTTAGTTAGCGCTTTTCTTGGTACTCAAAGCACTTTTACATAGAAGGGGGGATCTCCTCAACCACAACCAATGTGCAGCACCACCTGGATGATGATGATGCGACGGCAGCCATATTGTGCCAGAACGCCCACCACACACCAGCTTACTGGTGGAGAGGAGACAGAGTGATGAAGCCAATGAGTATATGAGGATGATTAGGAGGCCATGATGGACAAGAGGCAAATTTGGCCAGGATGCCGGGGTTACACCCCTACTCGTTCAAAAGACATCCTGGGATTTTTAATGACCACAGAGAGTCAGGACTCGGTTTAACGTCTCATCCGAAGGTCGGTGGTCTTTGACGGTATAGTGTCCCCGTCACTACACTGGGGCATTAGGACCCACACAGACCACAGGGTGAGCGCCCCCTACTCTGGTTTCTACTCCTACCCCCTAACCTGGTTTCCCCAGGAGTCTCCCATCCAGGTACTGACAGGCTCAGCCCTGCTTAGCTTCAGTGGGGGACCAGTCTTGGGCTACAGGGTGATATGGCTGCTGATAGCATGTCCGATATACTTAATGATAGCATGTTCGATTCAAATGAACGAGCCAATTGTTTTCAATGAACCACTGATTTATTTGAAAATTGGATTGATCTGTTCTTGAGTCAACAACTCCAGTCTCCTCCAGTTAACTCACTCACGGATTCATGTCTTATTAAGCACATTACAAATAAAGTAATTTTGTACTTTCACTCAATTTGAAAATTAGCACATACTTTTACTGGAGTTACATTATATGAAGGTATCTGTACTTTTACTTTAGTACTTGATCATCCACCAGTGATGAATACATGTATAAGATCTTTGCGCATGTGTTTTAAACTAGATTTAAATTTGATTAGGATTCACAGTTGTGTAAAGAAACCTGGAAATATCTTTTTTTTTTCTTTATAACATCAGGAACATTCAACATTTCTCCACCCATCTTTTCTTCAGGGTTTATAATTGTCAATCAATCAGACTACTTAAGTTTTCATTTTTTACCTTCCGTGTATTTGTAGAGGTGCGTGATGTCCTCCCGTCCATCAGAGCCAACTGCTTTAGTGCTGATGCAGTGACCGACTGCTTTCTTCTTAACTTGGACGGGAGTGAAGGTGCCATCAGCAGTCCGCTGCCAGTAGACTTTATCACTGTTCACCTTGAACAAAAAAGAGTGAAACATTCAGTACCTACAAGCCTCTTCTTAAAAATGAAGTGATAAATCAGAAGTTTTAGGTATACCTCTGCAAATACAAATGGTGTGTCATGCTTGAGGTAAACTTGTCCATTCCGGATAGCTGCGACAGAAGCGGGACCACAGCGAAAAACGCCCTGACTGGTCTCTTGAGGCGTGGCATCTACTGCCTGCCAACCCCCCAAACCCTCGGGTAGATCTGGACGGGCCATCCAGCAGTCATTCCACACATGGAAGTTCCTGCAGAGACGAGACAGGGACATGTGTATGTTTACTGCCATGTTTTGTTTGACGCTGATCATATTACAGGTTTGAATGGTGCAGCATTTGGGAGTAACAGTAAAAGGCTGAGCTATTTAACATTACAGTGTACTCCATACTTGTCTAGATTTGTTTAAAGTTGCTTAAACTATTGTAAATGAAATTTGAGCTAACCAGACAGAATCTCGATTAAGCTCCTCAATCGGCTCATAATTCTCATCTAAATACACATCTGTCGTCAAGGAAACATCTGTGTCATGAGCAGACTCGAAGTTTGTAACGCTCCGGGTGGGAATCCCTAAACACCTCATCACTGAAAATGAGAAAGAGTTTAATTGTTATGCTCAAATCAAATTGACATTCGTTCTTGCACATCCTCAGACACATGCTCTTACCTGAGGTGGTGACCCCAGAAAAGACCCAGCACTGTCCGTATTTGACCGGTGTTCCTCCGTTCTCGTAGTACTGTCTCAGGATGTCACTGCTGCCGCTCCAGAACGTGGGGGCCATGCCATCATCGTACGTACCTGACCAGTTGCCTATCAACACACCGTTGTCATCAGGAGAGTTAATCTGTTGAACGACAAATTATTCTTTTATTGCATCTGGATATTTTTAGTGGGTTGAATTTATACATAGGTCAGTCACGATAACTGATATGTTCTTTCAAGCTGGTAGGAGCAGCCAGTCGATCTTTCTTTCCTGTCTATGCAACCTTATTTTTTTCTGTCTCGACTTGATCTCAGTAGTGTGGGCCAGGAGAACATCTTTACCCCTCCTCCTCCCCAGCACCACCTGTTTAGATCTGCTACTGGGTTCTCCCTAATTTACCTTGCAGCAGCAGCATGTTTCCAATCTAAGCTCATGCTCCACTCGTCACCATGATGGTAATCCCCCCTCCCCCCACCCCCAACCCCAACCCCCGCACAACAGAAATTACTTTTTTTTGAGCTTTTGGGTTTACAGTGAATGATAATGTTCACGAAATATGTTGTTATAGAGTGCAATAAGATAGGGTGCCCAGAGAAGAAAGTTGTCAGACGTGGACCCCAGTGGACAGAAATAATATGACCCCTTTAAAGGGAGCATTCAAACTCACCATTGCAGACAAAAGCCTGACCACATTGACAGGATCTCCCCATCCTGATGCTGGGGTACCACTGTGCTCCAGCAAATACAGACACGATGGAAGGATGCCATTATCAAACTAAGATACAGAAGAATGTGTTTTTTAAAAAATTGCATTTTATCTTTGAATGAAATTAAATATAATCCAATTTGAAATCTGTTTTTCTGCCATACGTTCTAGCTGAGAAGGAATGAAGTTTTTATGAAAACAATATATGTTTATATGGATGCATTGCTCTGACCTGGCCAAAATTCCACGGCCTGTCTCCGATCTGGTTGTCAGTTCCGTAATAGATTATTCCCATGTCATTTAAAACATACTCTTTCCTCTCTTCCTCATTATCCATGTACACAGAGTCGCCTAGAAGAGGAAGAGAAAGTGGATGAAGCAGAGTTTCCATTTCCCAGCATCTTGGAATGAGACAGACCGTGTCGAAAGAAAAGGACAAAAATGAGGTGGCACTGTCCATAAATGGGACAAAACAGGCACTGGAACTAATACTCATACTACTTCTTAATGACTTATTTTTCAAGACATGATATATATATTTGTCTTGATTATATACTTGATGAACATATATTTATCTGTCCAAATCATGGATGTCACAATTAAAGACGCTGTGCGCAAAATGTGGGACAGTAAAATATAATGATAATGGTAATTCGAATACGTTAAGAACTAAATGTTCTAAATTAATTTAATATCCTAAAGTAGATTATGTAAACGTTATGACAGTTATTGGATACAGATAAGAAGGTCAAGACATCTGAAGTGGGACAGGACAAAATCCCAATTTTAGGCGGGACAGACATTTGATTAGTTTAAAATAGGGGTGTCCAGTCCTGCTCCTGGAGGATCACTGTCCTGCAAATTTTCTCTCCAACCCCAATTAAACACACCTGAACCAGCTAATAAAGGTCTTACTAGAAACTTCCAGGCAAGCAGGTTTGTTGAGGCAAGCTGTAGCTAAACTTTGGACCCCTGATTTAAAACAAGCTGCTTTAGGTTAATTTAATGATATGTAATGGCTAACATATCCAATAGATTTAAAAAATAAACATGGAATTTGTGCTTTAATGTCTTTTAAAACTGTCACAGGACAGTATTTGTGGAATGTGCCAGATAATATCACACTACTATTTTCATTATGTGGACTTCCTGATGACACTATCATTCCCCCTATCTCTCTCACCCCGCCCTTGTTTTCACCTTCACACCAGGGGTTGAACAGCATGTAGATGTCATTGTCAGGACTGTACGGAGACATGGCCTCGCCCGTTGTGGAACGTGTTGCAACACCGAGCCTGTATTTGCCAATAGCAGCAGTTGGCAGAGAGTTGACATGCAGTTTGATTTTTTTGTCTTTCTGTTCAACTATCTTGGCCTCCCAGCAGTTATCCTGCAGATCCTCAACCAAAGGAACAATCACATGTGTGCCTTTGGACACATCTGGGAGATTACCTGAAAGACATATGCACTTTTTTAGGACCAAAACATAACCATGAGATGTGTACAAATCAAAAGTTTTAAGTCGGTGAGATTTTTTTCTGTTGAAAGAAGTATCTTGTGCTCACCAAGGCTATACAGTGAATACAATTTATAGGAACTGTCTGGGCTAAGGGTTGTAAGATGGCAAAACTGACCTAGTTTCAAATCTAAGTGAAGTTTATCTGTCTTCAAGTTGATAGGTCTTGAGAGCTCGATCAACATCTGAAAGGTCTGGCCTCTGCGGATAATGAGGTTTTCGCTGCGGTAGCGATCTGTGTGATGCTCAAGTCGGTTCGGTTCTTTGTTGGATTTGAGAAGGTCTATTGAACGCACTTCCAGTATGGTACCTGAAAGAGAGAGAGAAAGGGCTTGGATGTTGTGCATTTTATATTGATCCAAAAATAAAAATTCTGGCATCATTTGACTGTCTTCTGTGGAACATTATTACAAATATGTTCCTTCCACGGAGGAAAGGAAGTCACACAGGTTTGGGATGACATGAGGGGGAGTAAATGATGACTGAAAGTTCATTATTAGGTGATCTATCACTTTAATATTTGTTCAAGCTTTATTTTTGGAGCCTAAACACTCTCTGTCCAGTTAGGTTACCTGTCTCTGGCATCTCGGTGGTTTCTGTAGGTCCACCTGTGACGCCATCATCTGTTGTTTTGCGGCAGCAGCAGCGGAGGCAGCTCTGGCGCAACCATGTGCAACATGACCACTTCGTCTCTGGCTTCTTTAGCTTCACCTTCTCTGGATCCTCCGGTGGAAGAGTACCGGCTGGAAAGCGGCCAATGGCAGAACGATTCCTGATTGATAATGTGTCTACAGGCATACTGAGGAGTAAAACAGAAAAATTTAGAATTTTTGAGAGATTCAGACAAGCCCTCTAAATACTAACACCATTTGTCTAACTAAGACTTTCACATTCTGTTTCTGTTAAACAATCATCAACTCACATATCAGATATGGTAAACAGAAGCTCAAGCATGTTCTCTTGACGAGCAAGAACCATGTTCTGGAAGAACCAATGAGGTTAATTATCGTGTTACGCAGCACGTTTGAGCTTCTGGAAGAACCAATGAGGTCAATTCTCGTGTTACGCAGCACGTTTGAGCTTCAGCAAGAACCAATGAGGTTCATTCTCGTGTTACGCAGCACGTTTGAGCTTCTGCAAGAACCAATGAGGTCCATTCTTGTGTTACGCAGCACATTTAAGCTTCTGGAAGAACCAATGAGGTTCATTCTTGTGTTACGCAGCACTTTTGAGCTTCTGCAAGAACCAATGAGGTCCATTCTTGTGTTACGCAGCACGTTTGAGCTTCTGGAAGAACCAATGAGGTTCAAATTTTCGTGTTACGCAGCACGTTTGAGCTTCTGCAAGAACCAATGAGGTCCATTCTTGTGTTACGCAGCACGTTTGAGCTTCTGCAAGAACCAATGAGGTTCATTCTCGTGTCACGCAGCACGTTTGAGCTTCTGGAAGAACCAATGAGGTTTATTCTTGTGTTACGCAGCACATTTGAGCTTCTGCAAGAACCAATGAGGTTCATTCTTGTGTTACGCAGCACGTTTAAGCTTCTGGAAGAACCAATGAGGTTCAAATTTTCGTGTTACGCAGCACGTTTGAGCTTCTGGAAGAACCAATGAGGTTCATTCTTGTGTTGCACAGCACGTTTGAGCTTCTGGAAGAACCAATGAGGTCCATTCTTGTGTGCAGCACGTTTGAGCTTCTGGAAGAACCAATGAGGTTCATTCTCATGTCATGCAGCACGTTTGAGCTTCTGGAAGAACCAATGAGGTTCATTCTTGTGTTACGCAGCACGTTTGAGCTTCTGCAAGAACCAATGAGGTTCATTCTCATGTCATGCAGCACGTTTGAGCTTCTGGAAGAACCAATGAGGTTTCTTCTTGTGTTACGCAGCACATTTGAGCTTCTGGAAGAACCAATGAGGTTCAAATTTTCGTGTTACGCAGCACGTTTGAGCTTCTGGAAGAACCAATGAGGTTCATTCTTGTGTTGCACAGCACGTTTGAGCTTCTGGAAGAACCAATGAGGTCCATTCTTGTGTGCAGCACGTTTGAGCTTCTGGAAGAACCAATGAGGTTCATTCTCATGTCATGCAGCACGTTTGAGCTTCTGGAAGAACCAATGAGGTTCATTCTTGTGTTACGCAGCACGTTTGAGCTTCTGCAAGAACCAATGAGGTTCATTCTCATGTCATGCAGCACGTTTGAGCTTCTGGAAGAACCAATGAGGTTTATTCTTGTGTTACGCAGCACGTTTGAGCTTCTGCAAGAACCAATGAGGTCCATTCTTGTGTTACGCAGCACGTTTGAGCTTCTGCAAGAACCAATGAGGTTCATTCTTGTGTTACGCAGCACGTTTGTGCTTCCACAAGAACCAATGAGGTTCATTCTTGTGTTACGCAGCACGTTTGAGCTTCTGCAAGAACCAATGAGGTTCATTCTCGTGTTACGCAGAACGTTTGAGCTTCTGGAAGAACCAATGAGGTTCATTCTTGTGTTACGCAGCACGTTTGAGCTTCTGCAAGAACCAATGAGGTCCATTCTTGTGTTACGCAGCACGTTTGAGCTTCTGGAAGAACTAATGAGGTTCAAATTTTCGTGTTACGCAGCACGTTTGAGCTTCCACAAGAACCAATGAGGTTCTTTCTTGTGTTACGCAGCACGTTTGAGCTTCTGCAAGAACCAATGAGGTTCATTCTCGTGTCACGCAGCACGTTTGAGCTTCTGGATGAACCAATGAGCTTCATTCTTGTGTTACGTAGCACTTTTGAGCTTCTGCAAGAACCAATGAGGTCTATTCTTGTGTTACGCAGCACGTTTGAGCTTCTGGAAGAACTAATGAGGTTCAAATTTTCGTGTTACGCAGCACGTTTGAGCTTCCACAAGAACCAATGAGGTTCTTTCTTATGTTACGCAGCACGTTTGAGCTTCTGCAAGAACCAATGAGGTTCATTCTTGTGTCACGCAGCACGTTTGAGCTTCTGGAAGAACCAATGAGCTTCATTCTCGTGTTACGCAGCACGTTTGAGCTTCTGCAAGAACCAATGAGGTTCATTCTCGTGTTACGCAGCACGTTTGAGCTTCTGGAAGAACCAATGAGGTTCATTCTCGTGTTACGCAGCACGTTTGAGCTTCAGCAAGAACCAATGAGGTTCATTCTCGTGGTACACAGCACGTTTGAGCTTCTGTATGAACCAATGAGGTTCATTCTATGTTACGCAGCACGTTTGAGCTTCTGGGAGAACCAATGAGGTTCATTCTCGTGTCACGCAGCACGTTTGAGCTTCTGGAAGAACCAATGAGGTTCATTCTCGTGTCACGCAGCACGTTTGAGCTTCTGGAAGAACCAATGAGGTTCATTCTCGTGTCATGCAGCACGTTTGAGCTTCTGGAAGAACCAATGAGGTTAATTCTCGTGTTACGCAGCACGTTTGAGCTTCAGCAAGAACCAATGAGGTTAATTCTCGTGTTACGCGGGACGTTTGAGCTTCTGGAAGTACCAATGAGGTTCATTCTCGTGTTACGCATCACGTTTGAGCTTCTGCAAGAACCAATGAGGTCCATTCTTGTGTTACGCAGCACGTTTGAGCTTCTGGAAGAACCAATGAGGTTCAAATTTTTGTGTTACGCAGCACGTTTGAGCTTCCACAATAACCAATGAGGTTCATTCTCGTGTTACGCAGCACGTTTGAGCTTCCACAAGAACCAATGAGGTTCATTCTCGTGTAACGCAGCACGTTTGAGCTTCCACAAGAACCAATAAGGTTCTTTCTTATGTTACGCAGCACGTTTGAGCTTCTGCAAGAACCAATGAGGTTCATTCTTGTGTCACGCAGCACGTTTGAGCTTCTGGAAGAACCAATGAGCTTCATTCTCGTGTTACGCAGCACGTTTGAGCTTCTGCAAGAACCAATGAGGTTCATTCTCGTGTTACGCAGCACGTTTGAGCTTCCACAAGAAGCAATGAGGTTCATTCTCGTGTAACGCAGCACGTTTGAGCTTCAGCAAGAACCAATGAGGTTCATTCTCGTGTTACGCAGCACGTTTGAGCTTCAGCAAGAACCAATGAGGTTCATTCTCGTGTCACGCAGCACGTTTGAGCTTCTGTATGAACCAATGAGGTTCATTCTCATGTTACGCAGCACGTTTGAGCTTCTGGGAGAACCAATGAGGTTTATTCTCGTGTCACGCAGCACGTTTGAGCTTCTGGAAGAACCAATGAGGTTCATTCTCGTGTCACGCAGCACGTTTGAGCTTCTGGAAGAACCAATGAGGTTAATTCTCGTGTTACGCAGCACGTTTGAGCTTCAGCAAGAACCAATGAGGTTAATTCTCGTGTTACGCAGGACGTTTGAGCTTCTGGAAGTACCAATGAGGTTCATTCTCGTGTTACGCATCACGTTTGAGTTTCTGCAAGAACCAATGAGGTCCATTCTTGTGTTACGCAGCACGTTTGAGCTTCTGGAAGAACCAATGAGGTTCAAATTTTCGTGTTACGCAGCACGTTTGAGCTTCCACAAGAACCAATGAGGTTCATTCTCGTGTTACGCAGCACGTTTGAGCTTCCACAAGAACCAATGAGGTTAATTCTCGTGTAACGCAGCACGTTTGAACTTCAGCAAGAACCAATGAGGTTCATTCTCGTGTTACGCAGCACGTTTGAGCTTCAGCAAGAACCAATGAGGTTCATTCTCGTGTCCCGCAGCACGTTTGAGCTTCTGTATGAACCAATGAGGTTCATTCTCATGTTACGCAGCACGTTTGAGCTTCTGAAAGAACCAATGAGGTCCATTCTTGTGTTACGCAGCACGTTTGAGCTTCTGGAAGAACCAATGAGGTTCAAATTTTCGTGTTATACAGCACGTTTGAGCTTTTGCAAGAACCAATGAGGTCCATTCTTGCGTTACGCAGCACGTTTGAGCTTGTGGAAGAACCAATGAGGTTAATTCTCGTGTTACGCAGCACGTTTGAGCTTCAGCAAGAGCCAATGAGATTCATTCTCGTGTTACGCAGCACGTTTGAGCTTCTGGAAGAACCAATGAGGTTAATCCTCAAGTTACGCAGCACGTTTGAGCTTCAGCAAGAACCAATGAGGTTCATTCTCGTGTTACGCAGCACGTTTGAGCTTCAGCAAGAACCAATGAGGTTCATTCTCGTGTTACGCAGCACGTTTGAGCTTCAGCAATAACCAATGAGGTTCATTCTCGTGTTACGCATCACGTTTGAGCTTCTACAAGAACCAATGAGGTCCATTCTTGTGTTACGCAGCACGTTTGAGCTTCTGGAAGAACCAATGAGGTCCATTCTTGTGTTACGCAGCACGTTTGAGCTTCTGCAAGAACCAATGAGGTCCATTTTTGTGTTACGCAGCACGTTTGAGCTTCTGGAAGAACCAATGAGGTTCAAATTTTCGTGTTACGCAGCACGTTTGAGCTTCAGCAAGAGCCAATGAGATTCATTCTCGTGTTACGCAGCACGTTTGAGCTTCTGGAAGAACCAATGAGGTTAATCCTCAAGTTACGCAGCACGTTTGAGCTTCAGCAAGAACCAATGAGGTTCATTCTCGTGTTACGCAGCACGTTTGAGCTTCAGCAAGAACCAATGAGGTTCATTCTCGTGTTACGCAGCACGTTTGAGCTTCAGCAATAACCAATGAGGTTCATTCTCGTGTTACGCATCACGTTTGAGCTTCTACAAGAACCAATGAGGTCCATTCTTGTGTTACGCAGCACGTTTGAGCTTCTGGAAGAACCAATGAGGTCCATTCTTGTGTTACGCAGCACGTTTGAGCTTCTGCAAGAACCAATGAGGTCCATTTTTGTGTTACG